TTAACGAGCATGTTCCACATGGTTGCACCTAACACCACATTGCATTACAAGTAATAAAAGCATCAATTTTGTTTTGTGTGGGATCGCCAGCCAGATCAGCGCGCATAATCCCACAGGATCTCTAACTAACGACCACTTGAACGTGCAGGCGGGACCTTGGTTTAACATGTCACTTGAAGGACGTCGCTTCCAACAATGTGCCCTCGCGCCCCCCCCCCACCCACCCCAACCCCACACACACCCACACTCATGGCCACAAATACCTCAGCGTTGCATGGAGTGTCAGGAGATTGTGAAGTCAAAGCCCCGATGCGGGGAATCGAACCCGCAACTTTCTGACTCGGAGCCGCGAGCTCGAGGGACTTGAGCTGCCCAGCAAACGAAAGGCGATTCGGTTGTTTAAATTCGCCGTTTGCTCTGTGTGGAACCGAGGTGTTAAGAGCAGCGTGTTCTGATACTGTTACAGCCGCAATCTAATGTATGATATTCTGTGTGGAATTGGGATTAGGATCAGATGGCTTCGCTGGTCTGAAGCAATGAGTATATTCCAGTCCATGTGCCCCCTTTTGTAACCTCAGCACAGCTTTGTGGTGTTTAAAGGTTTAAGATTTCACTTCCTGACAGGAGTTGTTAAATAAACAGACCGCTGCAAACGCTGGTGGCTGCCCGCTTGCCTTTTGGCGAGGGGAAACGCTATTTTGCAATCTTCAAGAGAGCTCCTTGTTGTTGCTGTTGTTGTTTTCGTTTCCCCCAGTGCCGTTCTTCTGACACGAATAACGTAAACGCATTCTTGAAGAGTCAGCAAGTTGCGCCACTAACATCGACAGGAAAACAATTCCTTCCAAAGTTTGTACGATCAACAATAACCATTGCACGCAGCAAGCGCCCATCACGTCCGGAGGACATCTCAAAGAGTTTCATGGAGCCAAAGCTGGGGGGGCTGGGGGGAAGGGGGGTGTGGGGGAGGAGAGTGGGGGAGCTGAGCAGTTTGAACGGGGAGGGAGAAGGTGATCAAAACATGATCGAAATAAAAAGTCTTAAGTTGGGAGAGAGGGTGGAGGAACATTAAACAGGCTGGTGCTCGTTTAGGGAGGGAGCGGTCAAGGTGAAAGGGTGGCAGATTCCTTCACCTGTCAGATAAGTGGGTTCTTTAAAGATTTACGGCTAAGTTACCAATGTCGTTTGAAATGTAACCGGACCATTATTAAATCCAGTAAGCGCTTATGGAACGAAGCGTGAAATTATTCCACCCCGCTTGCTTCTTTTGGAAAAACAGGAGGGGAAGATTGTCGTTTCCATTCCTGGCAAATAGTCACTGACTTTAATCACACTAATGTGGACCAGAACAGGTCGCATTGAGAATGGGTCCATTGTTTAGGTTCTTGCTGTTGCCTAAATAGCTCTGGTCCCTTAGTTCTTCCCAGGATGATGGAAGCCAGAAAAAAAAAACTGATTGTGCTGCTACATCTTCGTCTAAGGAAATCAGGGTCAGGGAGGGGAAAATCAGTGAGAGAGACGCCCGAGGATTCCTGGAGCTAGAAATAAGCTTCACGCTCATCTACTAATCACTTCATTTGACCCCAGCACCTTCCTGCCTCTCTAACCTGCCTCACCCCCCCCCCCCCCCCCCCAATTCCTGTAAACTCCCCTTTGCTCGGCCGGCTTCAGACACTACCTCGTCTCTCCCCATCTAGAAAATAATCTGCTTTTCTATTTTTAGTACCTGGGTGAATAACTTCACACTTCCCCATGTTATACTCCATCTGCCACCTTCTTGCCCACTCACCTTACCTATCTATTTCCCTTTGCATTCTCCTCGTGTCATCCTCACAGCTTACTCTCCCACCTAGCTTCGTATCGTCCGCGAATATAGATATAAGTTCTATTTCCTCATCTAAATCATTGATTATAGACTGTAAATAATTGAGGCCCAAGCACTGATTCTTGTGGCACTCCACTAGTCACATCCTGCCAATCTGAGAAGGATCCATTTATCCCTACTCTCTGTTTTCTTCCTGTTAGCCACTCTCCAATCCCTGCTAATATATTACCTTTAATTCCATGGGCTCTAATCTTATGCAACAGCCTTTTATGTGGCACCTTGTCGAATGCCTTCTGGAAATCCAAATACACCACCTCTACTGGTTTCCCCCCTATCTAACCTGCTACTCACATCCTCAAAAAACTCTTAAAAGGTTTGTTAAACATGATTTCCCGTTCGAAAAGCCATGTTGAATCAGCCTAATCATGTTATGATTTTCTAGAGTCCACCATGACGATGTCCCTAATTAAGGGCTCTAGAATGCGGATGACACCCAACTCTATCTTTCTGCCTCCACCCTCAACTCCAGGACCACTGCTGTCCTGACAAACTGCCTGTCGGACATCAAGTCCTGGATGAGGGCAAATTTCTTACAATTCTCTAGCCAAATCTTATTTAAATTTAAGACCCTTGCTTCGGATTCAACTACATCACTCTCTAACTTAATGTTAAATTCCATCATGTTATAGTCACTCTGCCCGAAAGGAGCCTTAACTTCCAGATTGTTGATTTACATTACACAAAGCAAGATCTAGGATAGCCTGTTCCCTGGTTGGTTCCTCAGCATATAGTTCTAGAAAACTATCTCTAATTTTCATTGTATAGAATGCCAAACTGACTGCCGCACACGTGGTTTCAATTGTTATTTTTGTCTGAAAATTACACTGGATGATTACCTGATAGCTGCGCTGCAATCATGATTTATTCAGTGCTATTTACACCTCTTTCCAAATATGGGCAAGAAACGATGAGGGGCGTTACTTTGGGATAAAGCTACAGTGTCCAAAATTCCTCCCAAATCGCTTGCGAATGGAAAATGAGCGATTTCCAGCACAGACGGAGACCTTTTGACCGGTCGTGACTGTGCCTCTGTAGGTTTAAGGAAAGAGGGAAGCGTCTTTTTAACTAGTTTTTAAAACTAGTTTTCCTGCCTGTTGATAACAGCCCATCAGCAGCACATCGCACCTGTCGACTGTTGGGAGTATTTTGGGGTTTGCATAATTTAAAACGCAAAAAGCCTTGAAGGAACATTTTGTTCTGTTTTGTTGCGATTAGAATGTTCTTAAGAACTTCACGCGTTGATTTCCATCTTATAAAAATGGTCTTTATCTCTGAATCAGGCACCTTTCACGTCAGGAGGACGTCTCAAAGTGCTTCACAGTTATACCGCGCAGTGTAATGACTGTGTGATTGTAGGGAAACGCATGCAACCAATTTGCGCAAAGCAGTCCTACAAATAGAATCGTAGTGATGTCCTCACTCCCCCACCCCCACCCCTTAACAGAACCACTCTCATCCTATTGCCTTCCTCTTCCCCAAAGCTTTCATGTCTCTTGTATTCAACGGTCTACAGTAATTCCCTTTTAATTGCGGTAATTAACCCGATTTCCTCATTATTTATGGTAAGGTGTTCCACATTTTCCATCGTGCAAAACAAAATGTTCTACTCTTACTCGTTATGCACTCCCATTAACTGATGATCAACCAGGCAATAATGCGGGGCAGAAACCTGCAGCCTCAGTGCTTGCACTTACTTGTCCCCATGTGGCAGACACACATTTTCCATATTTTGTTCTTTTTTAAACTACATAAAAGACAACTTGATGCAAACTGAGTTCCAGCCCGCTGGCGGGTTTAAAAGACCTTCATGGTCATTCAATCCACAACGGTTTGTGGGACACTGCTGTTCGCAAATGGCTGCCGTGTTTCGCCCACAATATATTTCGATCCACTTTACAATATATTCTGTAAAGGCGCTTTGAGACGTCTCAATTACTTGACAAGGCGCTCTATCAAATACAAGGATTTTTATGATTATTATTATTATGACAAAGACTGTAAAATACTGCACGCAGCTTGACTTAGCCGAGCTGGGCCCACTGCACCTTCTCTCGTTAGTTGGCACGTTTCAAAAAATTACAGCTCGTCAGCTAGGTGACGCACAATGTTACGACATGGTCTGCTTTGCTGGATAATGAACGACAGTCTCCAAAAGCGGACAACAGAGACACCCGCAAAGTCGAAGGCAGCCTCGATTCACTCTCCCGTCGGGAAGAAACGACGTGGAGCAATTTGCCTCTACAGTAATAACCAGTTGTTGACTCGATAACATTTGGGATTTAAAAAAAAACACACAGAACTGTCCCATTCGTGCGGCAGATATTGAAAGAATAAGTCAGTCCCAATTGACCTTCTGAACACAGAAGCTCTATTAATACAATGATAATCTTTACATTTGAGGTTGCGCATTTCATGTCGGGCAGAAGTCTCAAAACGCTTCACAGGACGCACCGTTAAGTGCCGTGACTGCACTCAGACAATTCTGATGAGATGTGCAACTCTCAGTCTGGTCTGGTTTGGATACCCTTAGGCTTGGTGATGGGTTTCCACGTATGTCAGACACCCGGCAGACTAAACAAAACTTTAATGGAGTGTCAGCCTGGACTCTACGAGTTCAAAGTCACTACGCAGGGGGTTAAAATCTGGCTCCAAAATGAAAGCAGCGACCACAAATTGAGCAAGGTTTGAACGCTTCAAAATGCTAAGTATGTTTAGTAAATCTAGACACAGGGGGGACATTTTGAAGCCAGCGAACAGACTCGAAGTTTAGAAAAGTTCCACCCTCAATGGACCCCAATTTCGGGCGATATCAATAAATATATTTTTTTCTATGTTTGCCGGTTTCTGATTTTAATCGGCCTTTGTCATTTTTTTTCTCCAAATTGAGAATAAAATAAATCCCCATCATTAAACGTGCACTATACACGGCAATGGCTGTAACACACTGCAGGTAATGCAACATACATATAATTGGCATATAATTCACGTGCGCAACACACAGTGATGTCGCTGGCGTCCGTACAACCTGGAAGAAAATTTAGACAACGTGATTTACACGCACTACCTGGAGCCCACTTCATTCAACAGAGCGGAAATTGTACCAAAATGTGAAAGTTACCTGTACAGGATAGATGGCTCTGCAATGAGGTCATGCCAATATGCACAAAAAGGGACTGGATAAAAGCTCAAGGAGAAGCGGTGTCTTCGAACTTCTTTGCTGCAAAATAAAAGTGAAAACAGTTCCACGTAAAGCAACACATTTTTCGGGGGGGGGGAGAGCTTTGAAGCGTGTAATCAAGCAAACGTGATCATCCTACATTACCTTCCACAGCAAAAAGCAAACTCATAAGGCGTTAGTTAATCTTTTACATATAGAAATAGTACACTTTGTTATTCCCCTCTCCAGTCTCTCTCATACTACGGACCATTCCCAGGCTGGGAGTACTGACTGAGAATTGGGTTCCAAAATCTCCCTCCAGTATAACTCTATGTACAGTCCCTCACTGGGCACTTGGCCCATATTTCAGCTTTCACTGTGGAAAATTCTGAGCCTTGACTTGGCATCTTCTCATGACAGTACATCAGAAACTATTGTTGGGTACAAACCTGCATCCTGGGAGTGTGTGTGGGGGGCGGGGGGGGGGGGGGGGGGGGGGGGGGTGATGGTGCGGGGCGAGAGGGAGAGAAGATGCGGGGAATGTGTTTCACAACCAAGTCTGATGTTGTCGTTGCACAATTTCCTATTATCTCAACGAAACACTGCTGTTTCCAGAGATGGCCACTTGAGAGACCACTTTTTGCCATCCCTGTAGCACAGCGCATTGGAAATCAATTTACACCCTCTACTCAAGCTTAGAACTTCACAGTCACACATCGTCAAAGACGTCATATCTAACTCCGACTTGAGGTTCAGCCCACACGCGTGCGAACTTCTTCAAAGTGTTAAAAATTTTGAATGCGTCTATTATACACCGCCTCCAAAAATGCACAGACACTACACTTTACAGTAAATCCGACAAAGAGCTTTGAGACGTCCTCTCGACGTGAACGGCACCATAACAAATGTAAGCGATATTAGTATGTCTTTCTATTTTTTCTCCACTTGAAACGTCAGAAAAGCAATGTCTCTTGTTATAGGAATGCGGACAGATAAGACAAACTGTATTTGGGTTTGTAGCTCAGTTCAAAAATAACAACACACACAGTCGAACTTTCAAGTCGGGAGGACATCCCAAAGTGTTGGAGGCGTTTGGAACAGAGGCAGAGGGAAGGTAGACAGGTGGAGATGTCAGAGAGGAAGCAGGAGGACAGTTTGGGGAGGGCAATATAAATACACATTAAAATTCAGGATCCCTGCGCTGACTTCCTACCTGAGTGAATTTTTTTTTTCTTAAGCCTCGTTCAAAAAAAAACACAGCACGTGTATTCATCTAAACTTTCTAGTACACACCTTCCAAAGTCCAAATTCATCCAGACTCCAAACTATCGGAACAAATGCAAGTCAGTCTGTATTGAGGTTGACTCGGATCAGTTAAAGATTAGTAAATAACTTTGGAGTCCATCGCTGTCTCCACCACAACAGTGAGACGTTACACTGGTCTGAGCATTGCTGACTGAACTTTGTGTGTGCACGGAGAATGGAAAAATACCATTCCACAATTGACCGGACCCTGCCAAACACTTACTGTCAAATCAAAAATAATAGTTGCATCTGGTGGAACATCACAAAAATCACTCCTTAAAAGCCAGATGGAAAAGTCTGAACCGACCAAGCGTGGGATGCTGACATCAGCTCATTCTGTAAATGATTCATCCCTTGTGCATTTAACAAGTAATCTGCGTGCCTAAAGGGTTAAATGTCCCGCACCAGCAAACGGGGTACGTAACCGGCAAAGCTCACTGTCCTTTAACCTCTGGGACTTGGGTTTGAATCCAGTCGATGAGATCAGTCTGCTCTCTGTGATGACTGCAAGGATCCCACATTAAGGAAGAGCAAGTTTCACTGCGCAGGGTGCGCTGAAGGCTGACATTGGCTACTAGAAGTAGAAAATTCCAAAGCCTACAAAATACACGACAACAACAAATTACATTTGTGTATCGCCTTTCACAGTCACTACACTTCCCAGTAAATCCTGTGAAGTGCTTTCAGACCACCTCTGGGGGTACAGAGGTAATAATAATAATCCTTGCATTTGATATAGCGCTTTTCATGTCTTCGAGACGTCTCAAAGCGCTTCACGGGATATACTGGAAAGTGAATTGACTGTATATTAGTGGGCGAAACGCGGCAGCCAATTGCGCACAGCAGCGTCCCCACAAACAGTCGTGGATTGAGTGACCAACAGTCGTTGAAGGGGTATAGAGGTTTATAACATCCCAACTGGGATTTAAAAAAAGCAAACCCAGAACAATAATTTCTAAATCAACAAAACAGTCCTGTAGCTCAGTGGTTAAAGCACTCGCCTCGCAAGTGAGAGGCCGGGGTTCGATTCCCGGCAGGGCAAAACCCTGGGTAAGTTTCCTGACTCCACACACACACACATACCCCTGATAATAATCCCTCAAAAAAAAACAATAAGAAATTTGGGCACTTCAATCCACGACTGTTTGTGGGACGCTGCTGTGCGCAATTGACTGCCACGGTTCGTGCACAGAAATTTGGCCAAGTCACGGTGACTGACCGGCAACAGAATTAAAAGTAAAACTTATTGTCATTACACTTCTACGATGAATGGCAAATCGGATCCAAAAGGTGTTTCATAAAACCAATTAGAAAGCATTACAATGCCAGGCAATTATTTGTTAATTACAGCAGCTCTTCCAAGTTTACAGGATTGCAAGTGATCAGCTGCTATAGGTCGATAAAAATTATTCTCCATCAAGACTTAATGATCAGAAAAATCTACACAGGAACTTACTGAACTGCAGAAAAATGTGCTGATGGCAATTAGGATTTTACAGTAGTTCATGAGCAAAGTGGCACAAGATAATTATTTTGTTTTGTAAAACTACATCATGAATAATATAACATAATATAATAATCCTTGCGCCTGATAAAAAATTAACGCCCAATCAAACCGCCTCCGAGCGTATATGTAAGGCGACCCAAAAAGTTGTGATAACTACCCTATTATATAAAAATAAATCGTAATTTCTTTAAGACTTGTAAGACATTGTAACGGTATCATGACTTTTTGGTCACCCTGTAGAGGGGGGTAACATCCTAAATGGGATTAAAAAAAAACTCAGAACAATACTTTGGTGATGCACCAAAACAGTAGAAAAAGGGGACACAGGTTTAGAGTTGCAACGGGTAATTTCAGGACAGGCACTAGAAATATTTTCTTTTAAAAATGATCTGCGGGATTGTTGGCCAGGACACCGGGAGACGCTCCCTTTTCTTTCACTGTAGTGCCATGGGATATTTAACATCCATCTGAACTGGCAGATAGGCCCTGGGTTTTCACTACGGCAATAGCCTAGACTGTGATCTCAAAGTTTCAGGTCGCTCACGAGGAATAAACACTAGGTGCGCGTTAAGAGTTAGTGGTTGGTCCCCTTTATAATGCTTTGTTGTCGTAATTGTATCATGGGGGTGGCGGAGGGGGTGGGTAATGGACTGAAAGTTCATCACTGTCACTAGCATTGAAGCTGAGCGCAAGCGTGAACCCTTCGTAAGAAGTTGGAATGTTCCTTTATCTTTACTTTTAAACAGTTTAGCAGGATGTTCGTACGGGGCAGGAGCCAAAAAGGAAAACACAATGCAACATTTCCTATTAACTCCACCCCGATTACTCAACAGCACAGCCTTATTTTACTGGATGTGAAACTGTGGAAGTCAGAGCAACTCAGGAATAGATTCCTCTCTCTGGGAGGACGATGTAAATAACACCCGGCGGGGGCTAAAATATGACGAGAACCATTTGCTCAATGTCTGGTTGCGAGATAACAGGGAAATACTCCCGTTGAATTGCAGGGGTGGAGTATAAACAGCGGCACAGACTAGTCAGACTGGATGGCCTGTGACCACACCGTGGTAATTCTATGTGTCACACTTTTTACTGAGCTCACAGTCCAGGCTGACGTTCTCTTGCAGTGTTGGGGGAGCGTTGCATTGTTGGAGGCGCAGTCCTTCAGATGAGACATTAACTCAAGGACCAGTCTGCCAGATCAGGTGGATGGTAAAGATCCCACGGCCCTAATAGAAAAGAGAAGGGAGTTTCTCCCGGGGTATAGGCAAGTCCTGGCCAACAATCCCCCAAATAATAAAAAAAAACATTTCTGATATTTGTCCTGAACATTGTCCCAGCCGATAATCCCCTGCCCCCCCCCCCCACCCTACCCCACCCCGGATAAAATTGGTCACTTCGTAGCTGGTTGTGAGGCACCCCCCCTTACGCAAATTAGTTGCCTGCCCAATACACATTCACTACACTTCACAGTAAAATCTTGTCAAACGCTTTGAGACAGACGTCTCTCGACGATGCAATCAGGCGCTATCTCAAATACAAGGGTTACTTATTTGTATGTTGTTATTGGCTCAGGATTCACCATTCCGTAAATCTCGCACTGATGCTCACAAAGGCGGATCTTACATCCCAGGTACCCTCCAAGCTCAGTCACAGACTGAGGATAACACCACGCGCTATCAGAGCAAAGTGACAGGCGTTTACTGAAGCCCACCTGATCCCCGAGATCTGTTACTGCCTCTAAACCTGCTCTGGGACATGGTACAACAGCAACAACTTGTGTTTACCTACAACATCCTTAACTCGTCTCGGAGCACTTCACTCAGAACGAGTTACAATACATTGCCAGTGACACAACACGCACAAAAAGCTTCTCCGAGGCACCACTGCAACACGATGCAAAACAAATCCCAACATCACATCTGCTCCATCCACAAGACGCACTCGCAAGAGTTTGCTTCCATTAGCCGCCTGCCAGCAACGATAAAAAAAAGGGAAATAAACAGGACGCTACAGACAGAACATGATCAACAACACAGACTCTGTGTGTACGTTACACAAAATAACACGTTCGAAGGCAGTAACATCTCGGGGGGGGTTGAGATGGGGACGTCAAAAAATCTTTCACAGGATTTGCTGCCAATTCTGCCGCTCGACACTCTACCTCCAAGTGACACTCAGCAAACGGTGCGACCACACGAGTGCAACACATGATGATAATAATCTTTGCATTTCGGGCGGCGCCTTTACCGTGCCGTAGAAGGCGTCTCAAGGCGCTTCGCGGGAATACCCTGCAAAAAGCGGATCGCCTGTGTATTTTGGGAGGTGAACCGCGCGCGCACAGCAGTGGCCCGCAGACAAGTCAGTCGAGTGGCTATCCGTGTGCCTCACCTTTATGTGGTCGAGAAAAAAAAGGTCAACAACAACGCACACAGCCGGCAGAGGCTTTGAGTGAAGAGTATTACTGTGCCAGAAGTTTCAAACCAACACTAACATCAGGATTGTAGCAACACGAGCAGTAATGTCAGGAGAGGATTGGCAGCAGCTGATAATAATAATAATAATAATAATAATAATAATAATTAATAATAATGAGCACTAACGCAGCGAATAGCGGGTGATGGCGGGCAGGAACAGATAATTTGCTATCAATTCCCAAGCCTGGCCATCTGTGTGGAGGCTGAGATAAATAAGTAAGTTATATTCTCATTCCTCCTCCTTGGCTGATCGATTGTTGAAGAGCCTCCATTCTCATAGCGAGAGCCAAGAACAAGGCACAGAAACACAGCAACACAGAGCACATAACCTCTCTCTCTCTCTCACACACACGCACACACACAGAATACACGCACGCACACACACGCACGCACACACAGAGCTCTCTCACGCACACAGAGCACAGCACACACAGAGCTCTCTCACGCACACAGAGCTCACACACACACAGAGAGCTCACACACACACACACACACACAGAGCTCACACACACACAGAGCTCACACACACACAGAGCTCACACACACACACAGAGCTCACACACACACACACACACACAGAGCTCACACACACACAGAGCTCACACACACACACACAGAGCTCACACACACAGAGCTCACACACAGAGAGAGCTCACACACACACACTCACACAGAGAGCTCACACACACACAGAGCTCACACACACAGAGAGCTCACACACACACACTCACACAGAGAGCTCACACACACACAGAGCTCACACACACAGAGAGAGCTCACACACACACACTCACACAGAGAGCTCACACACACACAGAGCTCACACACACAGAGAGCTCACAGAGAGAGTTCTCACACACACAGAGCTCACACACACACACACACAGAATCCCTTCCCTCTCTCTCTCACACACACACACACACACAGAACCCCTCTCTCTCTCTCACACACACACACACACACAAGCAGCAACTTTCTCCAGACCCTGCGCTGTGTATTTATTGCAATGAACACACAGCACAAACACACACACACAAAGAGGCAGCCAAAAGGCACCAACAAGGGTGTGTTTTGTGTGTGTGTTGTGTGTGCGTGTATGTGTATGTTGAGTGTGTGTGGTGTGAGTGTGTGTGTGTGAGTGGTGTGTGTGTGTGTGTGCGTGGTGTGTGTCTGAGTGTGGTTGTGGTGAGTGTGTGTGTGTGGGTGTGTGTGTGTATGTTGTGTGTGTGAGTGGTATGTGGTGTGAGTGTGTGTGTGGTGTGTGTGTGGTATGTGAGTGTGAGTGTATGTGGTGTGTGTGTGTGAGTGAGTGTGTGTATGTGTTGTGTGTGTGAATGTGTGTGAGTGTGTATGTGCTGTGTGTGTGTGGTATGTGGTGTGTGTGAGTGTGTGTGTGAGTGTGAGTGTGTGTGTGAGTGTATGTGGTGTGTGTGTGTGAGTGTGAGTGGTGTGTGAGTGCGTGAGAGTGTGTGTGTGTGAGTGTGAGTGGTGTGAGTGTGAGTGTATGTGGTGTGTATGTGGTGTGTGTGAGTGTGAGTGTATGTGGTGTGTGTGAGTGAGTGTATGTGGTGTGTAGTGTGTGTGTGAGTGTGTGTGTGAGTGTGAGTGTATGTGGTGTGTAAGTGTGGAGTGTGAGTGTATGTGTGTGTGTGAGTGTGAGTGTATGTGGTGTGTAAGTGTGTGTGAGTGTGTGTGTGAGTGTGAGTGTATGGTGTGTGAGTGTGTGTGAGTGCGTGAGAGTGTGTGTGTGTGAGTGTATGTGGTGTGAGTGTGAGTGTATGTGGTGTGTGTGTGAGTGTGTTTGAGTGTGTGTGAGTGAGTGAGTGTGAGTGTGTGTGAGTGTATGTGGTGTGTGTGAGTGTGAGTGTGTGTGTGTGTGTGTGAGTGAGTGTGAGTGTGTGAGTGAGTGTGAGTGAGTGTGAGTGTGTGTGAGTGAGTGAGTGTGTGTGTGTGAGTGAGTGTGAGTGTGTGTGAGTGTGTGTGAGTGAGTGAGTGTGAGTGTGTGTGAGTGTGAGTGTGTGTGAGTGTGAGTGAGTGAGTGTGTGAGTGAGTGAGTGTGAGTGTGTGTGTGTGTGTGTGAGTGTGAGTGAGTGTGAGTGAGTGAGTGTGTGAGTGAGTGAGTGTGAGTGAGTGTGAGTGTGTGTGAGTGTGAGTGTGTGTGAGTGAGTGAGTGTGTGTGTGAGTGAGTGTGAGTGTAGAGAAGGGAATCACCGATCGCCTGAACACCGAAACAGAGAAGGAAATGTAACGAGTCTCCGCGTTCATTACTTACCCCGAAATACACACAACACAACACTACACTACACAACACTACACCACACACAGCACCAGAGGGGAGTGCGGTCCACGATCAGCTTCGCTTGTGATCCACTCGCTGTTTGCTCGGTCTGTAGGGGGGGGTTTGGGGGGTTGGGGGTTGGGGGGGTTTGGGGGGTTGGGGGGGTTGGGGGTTGGGGGAGAGGGGGAATGGCCGGAGCTCCGACAGACAGACACACACACACAGAGAGAGAGATGGAGGGGCGAGAAGGAGGGAGGAGACGGGCAGAGAGACAGAGAAATAAGGGAGGAGACAGTGAGATGGGAGATACGTGGAACTGTCTACTACACAGAGACACACAGAGAGATACACACACACACACACAGATACACACACACAGAGACACACACACAGAGAGACACACACACACACACAGATACACACACACAGAGACGCACACACACACACACAGATACACACACACACACACACAGAGACACACACACAGAGAAACAGACACACAGAGACACACACACACACACACACACACACACACAGAGAGACACACACACAGAGAGATACACAGAGACACACAAACACACACACACAGAGATACACACAGACACAAACACACAGACACACACACACACAGATACACACACACACACAGATACACACACAGAGAGATACAAACACACAGATATACACACACAGAGACACACACACACACACATAGAGATACACACACACAGAGACACACACACACACAGATACACACACACAGATACACACAGACACAGACACACACACAGATACACACACACACACAAACACACACACAGATACACACACACACAGAGACACACACACACACACAGAGATACACAGAGAGATACACACACACACACAGATACACACACACACACAAACACACACACAGATACACACACACACAGATACACACAGACAGACAGAGACACAGAGACACACACACACACACAGGGACAGAGAGACAGTGACACACAGAGATACACAGACACACAAAGAGAAAGAGATACAACAGCGAGAGAGAGAGACCCCCCACAGCTGATCTGAAACCAGACCCTCACCCTCAGCCCTTTCCCGTCCCTCACAGACCTTTAAATGAATTCATTCGGTGTCGGTCCCTCTGATCTGATCAGATCAGCGGTGTTGAGCTGCCGGAGGGTCACTCGCGAGAAGAAGTCCTCTCTCTCTCTCTCTCTGTGTTGCTCTGGGGTTTTGTTGGGGGGGGGGAGGGGGGGGTGAAAAAGAGGGCGATTTCAGAACTGCCAAAGGATGAACTATTTCCACATCGCGGGATCGTCCCACCCCTCTCCCTCCCTCCCTCCCTTCTCTCTCTCTCTCTCCTTCCCTCCCTCTCTCTCTCTCTCCTTCCCTCCCTTCTCTCTCTCTCTCTCTCTCTCTCTCCTTCCCTCCCTTCTCTCTCTCCTTCCCTCCCTTCTCTCTCTCCTTCCCTCCTTCTCTCTTTCCTTCCCTCCCTTCTCTCTCTCTCCTTCCCTCCCTTCTCTCTCTCCTTCCCTCCTTCTCTCTCTCCTTCCCTCCTTCTCTCTCTCTCCTCCTCTCTCTCTCCTTCCCTCCCTTCTCTCTCTCCTCCCTTCTCTCTCTCTCTCTCCTTCCCTCTCTCTCTCTCCTTCCCTCCCTTCTCTCTCTCCTTCCCTCCCTTCTCTCTCTCCTTCCTTCCCTTCTCTCTCTCCCTCCCTTCTTCCCTCCTCCATCCATCAGTGGTCCTCTCTGGGGCAGTTTGGCCCTGTGAACGTGAGCCACTCCTCACAATACACCCCCCACACCCCCCTCCCCCCCACACCCCCAGTGTATCACACACAGCCCTTTAAATCATCTCAGGAGGGAACCTATCTCTTATCTCAGAGGGTTTGACTTGTCTCCTGTCACCATGGTCTCCCCCCCCCCCACCCACCCCACCCCTCCCACCCCTCCCACTCCCCCACTCCCCCTCACTGACCAGGACTTCCCAGACCATCCAAGTCTACTTTTGGATTCACCGAGGACCAGTTTACACAGCGCCCTTCACGCACGACAGTGTCTCGGAGCGCTTAACAGTGGCGGAGCCCGATACCGAGCCCGGGGGGTGGGTGGGGAGGGGGGGGAGGGAGGAGATGACCGTAAGCACGGCGGAAGAGGAAGGTCGTCAGTCGTGATCTAAAAGAGGGGAAAGAAGGGGCAAGGCGGAAAGGGGTTGGGGCTGGAGGAGGGGGGGGGGTCAGGGAGAGAGTGCCGGCAGAAAGGCTGAAGACCTAACTGAGGCGAGGGAGCAGGTTGGGTTGGTGGGGTTTCAACTGATCGCAGTGTTAGGGAGGGGACAAGAGGGTGGAGGGATTTAGGAGTGAGGGCGAGGACCTTGAACTCGATCCTCTGGGAGATGGAGAGCCAGTGGAGCCGGGCGAGGATGGGGGGTGCGTGGGGGGTGATAGGTTTGGGAGAGGAGAGCCTGGATGTCAGCCCTGGAGTACTGCGGACCCCAGGGTCAGGAACCCCCGAACACCGAGACCACCACCACAGAGGGTGGGCTCGGTTCTGACATTTCCTTGCAGAGCACAGGGTTGGAGGCCCTGTTTACCTCCTCCTCACAATGTACCTCCGGGATTTTCCATGTGCAGGTGGAGTGCGTGGAATTCTCGTTTTGGTTCGCGCACTCTTAAACACGGTGGGTTTCCACGTGTGTCAGACACCCGCCCCCCCACCCACACCCACCGCCCCTCCCTCCCCCCCCCAAAACGTGATCTGCTCCACAAGCCCCAACACCGGGAGCTTTGCCTGCGTGTTTCAATCTCCCTTCACGTGGTTTAATCATTAAAAAGGCGAGTCTCGCTCTGCCGATGCCCCTTTTTTGGTGAAAAAAAACCCCCCAATCACTCCACAGTCACAAAGAGGAACAGTTAACTTAACATTTGTTTTTTTTCTATCCTTCAAAAAACATTAACATTACATTTTTAACATCTGCGTTGAACTTTTTTTAATATCCTGGGCCAATTCGGACCTCGTCCAGAACATGGATGTTGGTGGGAGGGAACAGAGAGACATTTAACTTGCGAGCAGGGAGCACTTTTTTGCTGGATTATTTGGGACACTTCTGCATTCCTTTGATGCTCACTACATTGTCTTATCAGATGAACCTGGAAGGGGTGGGGGGAGGATTTTGAGCTCAGCATCGAAAGGGGGGCTGAAATAAAACAAATAGTTAAAGTGATCGAATAGCTAAGAGATGGATTATCGCACCAAGGGCGAGATTGCACTCTGGGCGAGTGGCTGTGGGGTTTGACTCCCAAGTCAATGGCCGTTAGTTTAATTGCGGTTTAATGTGGTATTCCATGCATTCGACTGCGGTGGTTTGAGCCACTGGAGAATATGTTCAGCCATTTAATCAATTGCACACTAGTGGCAAAAATATCAGTCAATGAACTTGCTGATCCAGATTCTGCCGTAAAGCGTAGTGGCTGTGGATTTTGTCGGCCACTTTATGCAGGCACAGCAGCATCCGCCAAACAGCCATGAAGTTAACGACTTCAAAATGTAAAGCAATGCAGCTTTTTCTCAATCTTTCCCTCCTTCCCCCAGCACCCCCCAAAAAAATCTCTATTCAACAAAAAATGGCACTCGCCGCATGTGAATATCCCATCACCTCTGATTTCCTTGTTCACTTCCCTCCTCAAATGGTGCCTTCAATCCTCTGAGGCCATAGCTTTAAAGACAGCGATAGGCAATGGGAACTCCTCGTAAACCTTAGAGAATTAGTTCCCTTCATTAACAAGCTCTGACTTGTAATTGAGAAGAAAGAGGTGGAGGGAGGTGGTCTACGAGCATTCCTCAGTCACTATAATCAGTGGTTATGGCAATGAAGAGATATTGAATTACAGCTGGGTTCCTTTACTCCCCGAAATGCTTTTTGCATTTTGCGGAACTTGAAATAACCGCCTTTCTCTCCAACCGCGTTGTCGCCCATAAGATGCACAGTCACTACACTTTAAAGTATATTCTGTGAAGCGCTTTTGAGGCGTCTTGAAGTCGTGATAAGGCACTTCATGAAATACAAGGATTATTATTGTTATTATTATTATTATTGTTATTTTTATTATCCTAGCAAAGGTTCCAGTGTAAACCACTAGGAAATTGGATCAACCTCTACAGCTTTGCTGGATGCATAAAGAGGAAGGATTGAATATTTATTTTTGCACAAATAAAATGTGGAACGAACCCGTTATCGGAAACAGTCACTTAAAAGGGAATTAAAAGTAGATAGTTGAAGAAAAGAGACATGGCAGAGTTTTGGGAGGAGAGCGAGGGAATAGGACGAGAGGGTTTTGTAAAGGGGAGCGGAGAGGACAAGACAGGCACATTGATTTGTCTTTGTTTGATTCAAAAGGCAAGTGGGAGATGTATTATCTACACTGGTCACAAGGTGCTGTCTCCTTTGCCTCCTTCAAGGCCCGTCTCAAGACTTTCCTCTTCGACCGCGCCTTCGGTCACCCTCCCACCCCCACCCCCCCACCCCCCACCATAACTCCAGCCTGCAACTCGGGTGCAAACCCTTCACTGTCCAGCGCCTTTGGGAAAGTTCTCCTGATGTGACACTGCAGTGTGTAAATGCAATTTGTTGTTGTGGTCTGACGTTGACACCGGCTCTCTGTATCTTAATAATAATAATCCTTGCATTTGATATAGCGCTTTTCACGTCGGGAGGACGTCCCAAAGCGCTTCACAGAACACACTGTAAAGTGAATTGACTGTATATTTGTGGGCGAACGCGGCAGCCAATTGCGCACAGCAATGTCCCACAAACAGTCGTGGATTGAAAATGATCAATTTATTATTGTTTCTGGTTTTTGGAGGGATTATTATTAGGCTCTGTGTGGAGTAAGGAAACTTGCCCAAGGTTTCGCCCTCTGCCTGGAATTGAAATAACTTGCAAAGCGAGTGCTCTAACCACTGAGCTACAGGACTCCTTACGAGAATAGCTCCAGAATTAACTGCTACCTCCCCACAACTTCCCTCACACACGCGCAAACACGCACACGCGCACACACGCACACAGCTGGCAAGTATGAGGAGTTGTTCGGGGGATGTTGAACCTTCACTCAACTCGTGACCTTGAACCTGCGTTGACTTTGTTCCGCTAAATCTCTCACGGTTTAACACAAAACGGAACAATAGTCCCTGACCTCATTTGCAGGAAGTCGGTATCTAGTTCCCAAAGGCTTGACTGACTTCCTTCTCGAGCCACGCACAGATACATACATACCCTCAACGCTTCATCTTGGAGCGTGAAGACGACATACAGTTTTACGTAGGAATCAGAGCCATTTTTTTTTTTTGAACCATTCGTAGTTTTTTGCTCTTGAGAAAGGCGATGGCGGCCGTCGCACACGGATGCATTCTGTCCAGACAAAGTTTACAAACAGTTGACAAGAGTTGAAGTAAATTTAAATGCTCGGTGGTGCAGCGGGTGTTCAAATGTGGTGCTGCACTGCCCTCGCGTGGTCAAGATGGAATATTCCGGTACCTTCGTCAAGTTAAACCGACACGCCGATCAAACTGGTTGCAACTTCGCCAAGGGATGGGTTTGCTTCTTTAAATTCGTTTGAATGCTTGGCTCCGTTGGATGATGGCAAACGTGGATCCACAGGATGTAAACGCCGTGTTTATTCCAAACAGTTGTCTGTCATTTTACACGCTTCGAATCCAGCAATGATACACTGCCAAATGTTCCGAACTCCACTTTGTTACTGGCATTGCAACCCGGCATCCTGTTTGCCTTGTTTATTGTTGCTTCACGCTGTTCGGCCATAGTGAGCCACACGTCAGCCAATTCCTCCATCCCCTAGGGTCACATTCAGTTTCTCGAAGCTATATCTTTATAGCTTAAAGAGGAGCCTTAACCCCTTTTTAAACCCTTGCTTTACGTGTCAAAAGCAAATTGTGTTCCAAGTCTTCACTTAGGATCTTAAACTAGTCTCAACTATTTCTGAAAAGATTGCATCTTCTCACTGACTCCACACCTACTGTGTTGTACTACACTGTACATCCAGTGCTGTTAAGAGGAAACTTATAATAATAATATAATAGTAATCCTCGCATTTGTTATAGCGCTTTTCACGTCTTCGAGACATCTCAAAGCACTTCACAGAATATACCGTAAAGTGAATTGACTGTAAATTTGTGGGCGAAACACGGCAGCCAATTGTGCACAGCAGCGTCCCACAAACAGTCATGGATTGAAGTGACCAATTTTATTGTTTTTTTTCTTGAGGGATTATTATCAGGCGTGTGTGTGGAGTAAGGAAATTTGCCCAAGGTTTCGCCCTGCTGGGAATCGAACCCATAACACGATGCACACATGAGGCAGGGAGCAGGCAATAGAGGGGTGGACACTCACGGGGAGGATAAATACCGTCACAGACTAGCTGGCTTCTGCGCTGTATCATTCTATGTCATTCTATATTGTAAACGTTCTAACTCATTCTCGCACCTATCCCTTGAAAGTGTTTTCTATGAAACCGACCTAGAAAAATACAAACACGGAGTTGAAACTGAGATTACTTTCCACATTTTTGTGTGAGTTCAGTGTCTAATAAAATCTAACACTTGGAAGATCCTGAATACTTAAGTATACCTTGTCTTGTTTTAGTAATTATAAGGGCTCGATCACTGGATTTATACAACACTTTCTTTATTCTGCTCAAAGTAATTCAGAGCAGGAAACAGACCTGATGTTAACTATAAAACTCAGGTTGTCACACATCTTCACGTACAGTCACTCATGTTAACCTTGCGAGCCAAAGCTCTAACGAGTAGAGTGACCTAACTGGACAAGCAGTGAGAAGCTTGCCAGGTAATGTGTACAATATCAAGCTGCTTGGTTCTAGTTGGTTAAACTCCAGCAGTTATCCCTAACACACACTCTCTGGTCTCCAAAGCCTTGGCTCCAGCCTTCCAGCACTTAATACTTTCTGGGGTTATGTGAGCAGGGTGCGTCCCTCCAGAGAGAGAGAGAGAGAGAAAGTGCGCACTCCATCCCAGCCAAATGGAAATTTCCATGCATATGTGGAACTCTTAATAGTTTGGTTTGGAGACTCTTAAGCGTGGCAATGAGTTTCCACGTAGGTCAGACAAAATATCTTCATACACAGACCTTGAAAACAAAGGCTAGAGCCACAATTGCTGGATATAAACAGCACTTTCTTTATTCTGCTCAAAGTAATTCAGAGCAGGAAACAGTCCTGACGTTAAGTGTTTGTTAGTGTTACTCTGAGTGCTCTGGCACAAAAGTGAATTTGAGCAGTAGATGGGAGTCTGATTATTTTTATTGCAAGTGCCGTACAGTGTATTTATCAGGATGTCGGTGTTTGTTATAAGGTTTGGAGGAGAAGAGACCAAGAGATATGAGGAGAATCTGGAATCCAATTCAATTCCATTCACTGTGAAGATCCATAAACAAACAAACAAAATTATGGAGTGAGTGACTACTTTTACTTGGGTGCTTTGTTGGGCAAGAGACGCTGGGGAAAATTCCAAAGGAATGAGACGTTAAACCGAGCTCCCGTCTGTCTGTTAAGGTGGAACTGGCTCCCTCTCATGGCTCAGCAATGAATGGGGCTAAGTTGGGTTTGCAGGCTGCTCTGTGCCAACTCCGGGTGGTATGATGTTACACAGTGCTCCCCCTTGCATTAAAACACCATTGCTTTTGTGTTTGCCTTGTGTTGTGCGTTGTTGGGTTAGGTTGGGTGAGGGTGTGAGCGAGCGAGTGATTCCTTCCACTTGGTAATATTTTTTTTCGGTGGTAAGTGACGTATCAGCCACACTCAATAACATGGTGACAAGCCAGGGTTATTCTGACCCCTTTGGTTGGCTTGTTTATTTCCTTCACCACAAAGGGTGTGGATGTTACATGGTTGGGATAATGAACGGTTCCTTATAATAGTAATAATAATTATTATTATTTTCATTTTATACAGTGCTTTATCACATCGTCAAACATCTCACGGAGCTTCACAAGATTTTTTTGGTAAAGTATGATTCCCCTTCGTGACCTGCCTGTTTACTAAACAGACCGTGGAGCGTGAGGAACCTGTGCACTAATGGACTAGAGTCTCGTGGACTGCAGCCTGTGTGGATTATTCAGATTCCATGAGGACCTGCCCACATAGAGCTGTGCATGTGCTATATTTGGGACATGACATGTGCAAGCGACTGCCAGAATGGCGGAAGGTGAACCCGATGGACCTTGGTCTTCTTTCGTCCAGGAATACTTATGTTCTGATGCTAAGAGCAAGTAGTGTGGAGGGTGAAAAGGCCGTTGAGCCCATCAAGGCCTGTTCTCTCCACAGCCCATGTGTAACTCACTCTATCGTAGCCCTGATTGAGAACGTCACAGAGTGATTGAACGTGAGTGTCCATTTGAAGAGAACACTGTTGACGGAGGAAAACTGTCGAGCTTTGTCGCCTCGTGCAGGGAGAGACTGTAAAACATTTATAGAGGGCCTTTCAGGTCTGGAGGACATCTCAAAGCACTTCACAGTCAATGTGTCTAATCTGTGACTGAGTTCATGCTCCTTACTGTGTGCTTGGGCCTTGGGCCTGACTGAGAGTGGGAGAATCAAATGCTAAACGCTGACGTACTTTGAATATTTCTAATTTGGTTTCTCCATCAGAGAGGATAATAATAATAATAATAATAATAATAATAATAATAATAATAATCCTTGCATTTGATATAGCGCTTTTCACGTCGGGAGGACGTCCCAAAGCGCTTCACAGAACATACTGCAAAGTGAATTGACTGTATATTTGTGGGCGAACGCGGCAGCCAATTGCGCACAGCAATGTCCCACAAACAGTCGTAGATTGAAAATGACCAATTAATTATTGTTTTTGGTTTTTGAAGGGATTATTATTAGGCGTGTGGAGTAAGGAAACTTGCCCAAGGTTTACTCCAATTGTACGTGGTGGGTCAAAGACCCAATTATAATGGGTGATTGGTCTATTATGAACGTAGCCAGGGAACTAAGAGTGTGAGTAATGCCTTATAAATGGCCGTCCCTTTCTGAAAGGTTGGTCTTGCTGGGGAACAATCGGAACCCAAAACATAAACACTTGCTTTGGTATTTTTTTGACACACTCAAGGTCACTTTGCCTCTGGAACAGAGAAAGAGAGAGAGAGAGAGCTTTCATTGTGCTGAACTTCAGTGTCGGGTGATGAACGAGGCATTTCCGTAATGAAGTGGTCAAATGTCAACCGTTTAGGTGGGCCGTGTGCGATCAAGAGTAACAGAACAAACGTGGGCAAGTTTCCGTGCTGGGTGCGGGCGAGGCTGTGAGTTTCTCTGAGGCTTTGTTTCAGAACGAGTGGATCAAACATCAAAGCTGTCGTTTCGATCATTGCTCCAGGCAACTGCACCGCAGAAAGCTCGCACAGTGAGTCGCTCGTCTATATCTATATCCGTCCTTCCTCATAGTTCACGTGTTTTACTTTCACTAACGTGCTCGCGCGTGTCTGTTGTCGCGTCAGGAACAGATGTTCGACATCTTCCCGGTGGCATATATTCTTTTTCCGCTTGCCTTTCCCTCTGTTGTGGAATAATACTGTTTCACGGCTGTTTGTGGGGGTGTTGCCGTGTGCAGAACTGTGCTCTGCCGGGTTTGCCTGCGAATACAGTCACTCCGTTTCACAGTAAATCCTGTGAAGCGCTTTGAGACGTCCTTCCGACGTGATAAGGCGCTAAACCAAATGCAATAATAATAATTTTTGGGGGTGTCGCTGGGGGGGATATGCAGAGTGTGTAAAAGCACAGAGATCACAGAGAGATTACAATCACTACTGTTTCTGGGCTGGTATTCATTAGAGGAAACCAGTGTGTCACATCTCTAACAGAGTGGTTCACTGAATTCTATTGATGAAGCCACAATGTCCACTATTCTGCTGTGATTCCAGCGCTCTGAGACACTGCCCTGAGTGAGGGGCGCGGTATAAGTCCAAATTGTGTTGTTGTTGGTGTTGTTGATGTGACAAATAGTTACTGTACATCTGAGCGGCAGGTTTCTGAGAGCGGACAAAGTCCGCTATGTTTATAAATCCATTTGCGGCCTGTGATCAAAGTTAAGCCCCCTCACCGCCCTCCCTCCCTCCCTCCCGAAATCTCCCCATTAATTTCGCCGAGTGATTTTTGCTTCTCGGTCTGAAGCAGTGTGTGGGGAAGGTCGTTGTGAAGGGTGCTCATCAAGAGCTGGACTGAAACCCACTCGGATTAATTTGATGTGTGCGCTCGCCAGTCGACTGAGAGAACGCTTTCATCCCATCAGTCTGGACTGGCTTTGAATCCGAGCCTCAAAGGTGAAAGGAGAGCATTGACGCATCGTACTCGGGCGAAATTCCATCTTGGAATAGATTTTATTCTCTTCTCTTAGCATTTCAGTCAGAGCAATCCGAATTTGGTAAATTCTTAAATAGTCTTCATTGTTGAAGTGTGTGGCTTTTTTGTAGCTCCTTAAAAGTACTTACAGAAAAGAGGTTTCAGTGTTAAGACTGAATTCAACAATTTGTGTATTTTGTGCACAACAAGTTCCCAAAACAGCCACAAACATTGATTCGATCTGTCGTGCCACGTGGAAAAGTCAATGTGTTTCAGTGCAGTGGAACTCCCTTGAAAACATTAAAGATCCCATGGCACTATTCGAAAAAAGAAGCGAGTTTTTCTCCCTCGGTGTTCTCGCTGACAATCCTCCAGATAAAAATTGGTCGCCCACTTCATGGGTGTCTGTGGGGCATTGCTGTGCTCGAATTGGCTGCTGCGTTCACCTACAAAGTACAGAGTCACTACACCCTACCAGGAAAAATCCACTTTGAGACGTCTGGATGCGAGGATTATTAAGTTACGATAGAAGTGTATCGAACTCAATGTCATGGCATGCCGCTTCACATCAGTTTCAAAGCTCTACACATGGTAGCCTGTACGTGAGGGTTTAGAGTTATTAGTACTTGGGGAAGGGGCAAGAGAGGGGAAGGTTTAGCTGCTGTAATTCATTGATTTTCTAAATCAGATAGAGCTGCCACCCAACGTGGCTTCCTCGTTAGTTGAGCTCACCCTCCACTTCGCCTGCAGCACAATTTGACATTGGGCCATAACTAGGAATAACCTTTGCTGTAAGCCTTTACGACTTTGCTCCACTAATAATGAAACCTGCAAAGTAAAACTATGCAAATTCCTATAAGTTTTGCATCCGATCTGACCCTGACTGCTTACTCGATCTCCCATTTGATCGTGCTTTATTTCCACCTTTATCTTATTTGAAACCAGGGGTGCGGGAGGGAAAATGCGTTGTTTCCTGACGAATTCGATGGGATAATTACAAAAACGGGTAGGAAACATCGTATTTTAAATGTAAAATACCCGAACTTATCTCAATATACAACTGATTGTGGGTCACTGATGTGCGCAATTTGGCTGCTGCGTTTTGCCCACTTTGCAGTTCAATCTACTTTACAACATATTGTGTGAAGCACTTTGAGACGTCTCAAAGACGTGATAAGACGCTACATCAAATACGAAGATTATTATTATTATTATTTGATCTTGTGAAGGTAAGCAGAATTAGGCTTGGTTAGTGTTTGGATGGGAGACTGCCTGGGAATAGCAGGTGCTGTATTCTTTGCTTGGTTGAGAATTTATTTGGTCCTAACCTTATGGGTAACATTAATGCCTGATGATGATTTCCAGGGTTTGATCATCATGAGGGGTATTGTGCACCCGATTGCAGTGTGGGGAAGGAAAGCCCCATCTCATTCCATCTGTGCTCTCATGTTAACTGATGACCAGCAAACCGTTGTGACTGGAAGTCAGGAAGGACAAATTTGTCTCTGGAATCTGTCCCCCGATTTCAAGGTTAGTATCACACACTTCTGTTCTCTGAGGATAAGGCAGTAACTAGTCCACAAAATATACAGTCAATTCAATTTACAATACATTCTGTGAAGCGCTTTGAGACGTCTCGAAGACGTGATAAGGCGCTGTATCAAATGCAAGGATTATTATTATTATTTTTATTATTATTATTATTGGCAGCCCGGCTCACTTTGCCTCTGAGTCAAGAGGCTGTAGGTTCAAGCCCCATGTCAGGACTTTGAACTCACACAGTCTATAGGCTGTTATTCCTTGAGGGAATTTTATTCTCCCTCCAAATTGTCCTGTGCCTTCTCTCCCACAGCTGCGTTCCACTCGACAGGAATGGCCTAAGGTTGATCTTCTCTTGGTCTGATCAATCATGTTGTACAAATATTGTGGCTGATCAGCAATCAATGTGGGAAGTTGATACACGATGCTTATAGTCCAGGAGGTTCTGTGCATTTGTATGCTAAACAAGAACTCACTGGAGAGAAAGAGAGAGAGAGAAATCTTGCTTATTTTCAGGTCTCTTCCATTTACCATGCAATTTCATCATGAAACGAGCAATTTAGTGGCTTGAAATACAAACTGGTTTCAGTTATTTTGGCTTAAAATCTACCACAGATTTTCACAGAACTGTGGGGAAATTCCTAAGTTCATTCTTTTAATTTGGAAGTCGGGTTCTTTCTAGCAAACTGAGAGAAACAAAAAAAAGGCGCTTTCCATAATTCTCTGCGCATCTAAAATCGAAAGAGTGCAGTCTTAAGTAACGAAAACCAGGTAGTATCGATGCCTTCGTGGGAGCAGTGAGTAAGGAGAATTCTCACCTGGATCTTAAATTTACTGTATTTATGTAAAAATTCAGAATGTCTAGAATTTATTTTCAATCTTTGAAATCATTATTCTGTCATTTCTTTTTAAAAAAAACTGTGTGTCTCACCAGATCATCTTAGATTCCAACAGTAGGTAAATTATTCAGTTATAGCAAATGTTTTTTTGGTGTGTGTTTTTTTTTAAACGCAAGGTGTATAAATGTTCACTGTGTTTGTATTGCAGACTCAGCCGAGAATCCTTCTGTTTGGTCACGTTTCATCCGTTACCTGCTTTGCGAAAGCAAGTGAGAAACAGCCCTACGTGGTCAGTGCAGCAGAAAACGGGTCAGTCCTGATTTTGTGCATTTCAATGCGAGATCAATAGTTGGGAATCCACAGCACCGGTTCATTCAAGGAGATTTTACTCTCAGATGTGACGTGACTGCAGACGAGGAGGAACATTTTGAGGCAGAGGGTGGTGAGAATATGGAACTCGTTGCTGGGAGCTGCGGTTGAAGAAAAAAGCATTCAATTAATTTAAGAAGAAACTTGATGTACAGGAGAGAGGATACAACAACAAGATTCCATTTATAGAGCGCCTTTCACGTCGGGAGGATGTCCCAAGGCGCTGATGGAATAGAAGGGGATAGGAGTGGGGGTTAGGTGGAGTCAGGTTCAATTAGAGCATAAACGCAGATTAGTTTAGGCTGATTGCTTTTTTTCCCCTGTGCTGTGAAATTCCTTGTAATTCTGTGTAGTGCACTGTGTAGCCCTGTGTAAATGCACACTTGGTAGAACATGGCCACAGGATGGCGACGTTTAAGAGAGAGAAAACAAGCAACAAAGTGGATAGATCAGTGTGTAATCCTTCGGGCAGTGGGAATCGTTTGCTACACAGTCAAAACCATTGGCAAAACCAAATGGTCAGTTCACCTGCAACCTTCTGCAAGAGCCATCTATTGCAGGTCTAGTGCATTGACTTTGTAATGAGGCTTCAGGCTAAAAGCAGTGAAGTGCAATTACTCTAACAGAAAATAAACACCAATCCTGTCCTTTTATGTAATGACCAGAGAGGGATCCCCCCCCCCCCCACCCACCCCCAACCCACCCCTGCACACACACACAAAAAAAAGAGACTTTTTTTGTAAACTTAATGCTCGCCAAACAAAAACAAAAAAATCCTGGACGGCATAGAATTTATTTCAGTCAATTGACTGGAAGTGATGATGAAAAAAAATGACCCTGTGCTCTGTCTTGCAGAGAGATGTGCCTGTGGAATGTCACGAACGGTCAGTGCTTAGAGAACACCGTGCTGCCCTTTACTCACACTGCAATCTGTGTAAGTACCAGGGCTTTTCACGTCATAGTTTAGTGCTTTGATGCTTTCAGCCGTGCGTTTCAAATTTCAAGGCATAAAAATCACGAAGAGTCGGGGTCTGCAAATGCGAACCGTTTGGAGACCTTTGCCAAGGGAGGATCCGAGGGTTAAAGACGCCAGAAGGTTTAAAGGCATCTACAAAGCGCAATGTGAATCTTTCGCCTCGGATACTAAAAAGCGGTTTCTTTTTTAAATGCTGGAGAATAATTTTATTTCGCTTCAGGAGCTTGTGTCTAAAATAAACGTTTGCAGAAAAAAAAACAATTTGTTCAGAAATTGATGCGAATGTACAGTTATTCCCGGTTGTGACTCTGCTTCCAACGTACCAGGGGATGTGGAGTGGGAACCTGGATTTAGACTTTCCTTTGTTGTTGCATTGTTTGGGTCTCCTTACGCCGGCAAAATACACGGTCAATCCACTTTGCAATCTATTCTGTGAAGTGCTCTGAGACGTCTCGACGCCATGATGAGGCACCATATCAAATGCAAGGATTATTATCATTATTATTTTTATTATTACTATTATTATTGACACCTGATTCCGAAAGTCTGAGCATGTGCAGAGCTGAGTGTGTGTGGGGGNAGGAGAGGTGTTAGCTGACGTGTCGTTCACCATGTCCGGTGGGAATCAGCAGTGAGCAAAGTGTGGAGATTGTTGGGCTACATCGGGTTCAGAAGTCACACTCAAGAACCAGTTGTAATCTGGGTTTTTGGGCCTTTGATGAAGAAGATGTAGAAAGCCTTGGGTCTAAAGTAGGAATTGTTGAGCATTTGCACGGCTGACGGCTATCGCATAAAGGGAACGACAGCAGTTTGTAAACTTAACGGAAACTTTCATTGAGTTGCAAAACAAAAAGAGCCGGTTTTCGCATCAGCCGTGTTCGCATGGTTTATTAATGCTTCGCCTTCACTATCCTCCCCCTGCACAGTATTATTACCGCTCCTTTCGCATGTCGGGTGATGGCTGGCTGCTTTGCTGTGGACAATATCAGGATGTCTTGGTCGTCGATGCACGTACCCTGGAGGTTCTTCACGCTCTCATCTCATCTGTGACACCAGACTGGATAAGCTCGATGTGCATCGTGTGTTCCCAGAGGATTCAAGGTAGCACGGTGCCCCAGCTCCTCAGTGCTCGCTCACCTCACAGTCCGAGTCTTGCGTTCACTTGTGTTTTAAAATAAGAATTTGCCGAGCGCTCCATTTAAAAAAAAAAACAACTCCCAACGTTATATGGAAAGTAATTGGTAACTGTACGGATTAATTAATGATGACCTTTCTTCAGTGCGTTTCCACATGAAAAGGCACAGGGACCTTTACGAGCAGTTTAAATGGAGTGCTGCTTTATTGACCTGTCACCTTTCAGGCGCCGATAGTTTGCGCAGTGCACTAAACACATTTTCTCTGTTTCACCCCCACCCACAACACCCCCCCAACCCCCCCCCCCCCCTCCCCCCCCCTCTCTGGCGAATGGATCTCACAGAGGACTCACTTGTTGGCATCTCCGTGACGGGAGACCTGAAGGTGTGGGATCTGTCCTCGTCTGTTAATGGCGTGCAGGTAACCGAGCCAGAGTGGATGTCACTCACAAACATCCTCGTCGCTTTGTGACAGAATTAAATGCCACTTCTGCAAATTTAGCTTTCTGTCAAAATAGAGTACATCCATCAATTGTTTCAACTTTTGCACTGCTGTGGAGTCCCGGAGCATATTGTTTAGAGCACTCGCCTCGCAAGCGAGCGGACCCGGGTTCGATTCCCGGGCAGGGCGAAACCTTAGGCAAGTTTCCTTACTCCATACGTCTCGGTGTACCAGCAGTAACTGGGAACCCGGTTGTTAAGCGATTGGTGGATTAGTTTCCAAGAGTAATAATCCCTCCCCCCCAAAATACTAATAATTTGGTCATTTAACCCACAACTGTTTGTGGGACACTATTGTGTGCAATTGGCTGCCGCGTTTCGCCCACAAAATGCACAGTCAATTCACTTTACAGTATAGTGTGTGAAGCGCTTTGAGACGATGTGATAAGGCGCTATATCAAATGCAAGGATTATTATTGGTGAGATTGTTATTATTATTATTATACTTTCAGGAGAGACAGAACATATTTGAAGCAGAGTCCAAGTCACTGCAATGCTTCAATTGCCGAACCATCTGTTTTTGTACCTTCACCGAGAGGCTCCTGTTGGTAGTTTGTTCCGATTACTGGAAGGTATGGTTTATGTGGCTCCATGTCACTCCATTATAATAATAATAATCTCGACATTTGATACAGAGCCTATTCACATAGGGAGGATGTCTCAAAACGCCTCGCAGGATTTTACTGCAAAGTGCAGTGACTGTGTATGTCGTGGATGAACAAATTGTCTGACCACAAATAAAAATAATTACCATAATCAGTTGGGAGTATTTGGTAATTTCGAACTGAAAGGTAAGTCATTTCACATCTGAAAAATGTTTCCGGGGAAGTCACTGGGGAACGCAGGGTTCGTTCCTACAAAACACAAAGTCACAGCACTTTACAGTACATTCCGTGAAGCGCTTTGAGGCGTCTCAACGGCGCGACGAGGCGCTATATCAAACATAAGGGTTATTATTATTATTATCGCAAGGATTATTATTATTAATCTGCAGGGCTGTGGGGAGAGAGCAGGTAAATGTGACTGAAAGGAAAGCTCTTTAAAGAGCTAGGCAGGCTTGATGCACTAGAGATCGATACTCTAACTTTCTCTGGTTCTGTGGTTCGTGGGCTGGAGGGAAGATGAGTGGTGTTCAGCAGGCGGCGGAGAGTCACGCTTTACGTCTAACTTCTTGCTTCGTGTCACCATCTCTTGCTTTGTAGGTGTTCGACTACTGTGACTTCTCTCTGCTGTGCTCGGCCTGCAGCGGGGTTGGGCAACGGTGGGCGGGGGGCGACGTGTTGGGGGCCAACAAAATCATCATCTGGACAGAGGACGGCCGAGGGTACATCTACCAGCTGCCTGACAGGTGGGGTCAGATGGGGAAACCGCATGAAAAGTTCAGGTAGGAGATGAACTTTGGGTGTTTCATTCAACGCGCAAGAGAAAGAAACCCACCCCCCCCCCCACCCCACACACACAACAAAATTCACAGCACGTCACAAACGCTCATGTGAGGCACCACAAAGGGTTCTCTCCCTTCAAGATTTGTCTTGAGCCGGGCAGCTGTAGGTTTTTGTCTGACACAGTTGGAGGCTAAAGAACAAGTTTAATCAACCAGAGCTTTGTCGAGGCAGTTGCGTAAGTGAATCGGCTATTGGCAATTGCTGCTTTCAAAAAAGTTTAAGAGCTGCTTAAACTCGTTGGGAGAGGGCGGGGAGAAATCTAGACAATAAGGTATGAACAAGGCAAAGCTGTGGTTTCTGTACGTAGAATATGTTATTTAATAATAAGTTTTTTTTTAACTTCGTGCCACGCTGACGCATTGAAATTGTGGCTTTTGGGTGGGCCAGGTATTGTGTCTTAAAGCCACAGGCATTTACGCAAAAGTAAGCACATAAGGAGGCCATTTCGCCCATGACGTCAAAACATGCAGTCACTGCGCTTGATAGTAAAACACTGTGAGACGTCCTCCCGACCTGAAAGGCACCTTATTAAATGCAAAGATTATTATTATTATTATTATTATTCAAAGTCTTGCTGGGTTAAATATTGTAAAAACATATCCATGCTTTGGTCTTTTTAACCAGCATGTGTTTTAACATTGTGTTGGCAGCAATCTGTTCAAAAGTGGCATCTTTACTGACGCGCATTCACTGACTGAGCCAGGCTCCCCTCGCCTCCTGTGTGTGACCTCCGATGATGTTAACAGTAAGGTAATGTCAGCTTCAGAAACCAAGTGGGACCTACCCACGGGGTTGTCGATTTGAAACCTGAGCCATTTAACCCGTCTGTTGTTATACCATCTAATTCATGCCTGAGATTATAGATATTTTGCCTTCAAAATACACAGTCAATTCACTTTACAGTATATTCTATGAAACGCTTTGAAAAGTCTCAATGATGTGATATGTTGCTATATCAAATGCAAGGTTTATTATTATTATTATAGACATCCACAAAGTGACTGACATCTTCTCTAAGTGGCCAACAATCCCCCAAATAAAATTGGTCACTCACTTCATGGCTGTTTTTAGGACATTGCTGTGCACAAATTGACTGCATGTTCACCCACAAAACACAATATACTTATTTACCAGTAAATCGTGTGAAGTACTCTGAGGTGTCCTCCCGACATAAAAGGCACAATACCAAATGTAAGGATTATTATACACATTGGAGGCTATTTTCTGCTCATCGCAAATTGGCAATGAACTATAGACTTCTGTAGAATCCTGCCTATTAAATCAAAGCTATTTTATCTACATCATTACTTTAAAGATGATAAGTTAATATCCCACAAGCACAAAGCCAGAGCAATCTCGGTTTTGTGAGTCTCTTCACAAAGTTCGATACAGATTTAATTGGGCGAACAAGTAATTTTACAAAGACATTTTTATGGTATGATTATAATGGACTGTAGCCAAATGTTGTAACATCCGAGATCTATACCGTAATGGAGAGCTACAAGGAAGTCCTACTAATTGAAGGGTTCAGATGACGTAAACCACAAGAGCACAGCTCAAGTTAATTAAAACTTCATTGCAACCCTGAGATTTGTGCTTCCTTTATGCCTCACTACAACAGTTTAAGACAATCTCCGTGCACTTATACACTAACGTGAATGCCACAGGCTTTTTACTGTTCAGTGATGTCGGATGATATTAATGGTATCCATCTAACAGGGCTTTTCTGTTACACTTATAGGGGAATGAACTTTAGCTTTAAAGTGCTCCCTTTCCCCATCAGCTGATTTTTTTTTCCAATTTCTCCTGCCCAAAGGCAGGACTACTCGTCGGGAGACTGTGGGTTCAAGCCCCATCTTTATATTAATTGTGTGTGAGTCACCAGAACTCTCGCTTCTGGTTCAGAAGATTGTGTGTTCAAGACACATGTCAGGACTCTGTACTCAGTCCGGCAGTCCAGGCTGACACTGCAATGTAGTGTCGGGGGCGCTGTCCTTCAGGTGAGATGTTAAACCAAGTTCCTGTCTGCCTATACAGGTAGACATTAAAGGTATTATTCAAAAAGAAGAGGGAGTTTCTTCCAAAGTCCTGGCCAACAATTCCCCAAATAAAGTTGGTCTTTCACTTTGTGGATGTTTGTTGGACATTCTTGTCCACGAATTGGCTGCTGTGTTTGGCTGTGAAACGCTTTGAGGCTTCATCCCAATTTCAAAGACGCTATATAAAATGTAAGGATTATTATTGCACAAAGTGGGATCTGAAATACATGTTAAAGCGTTAACACCAACAGTAAATAGCTTGTCTATCGTTAGATTGCGTCGCGAGTGTTAACTTGTAAGTTGCACTTGACGGTAAAAACATTCCTGATCTGCTCGATCTCTCTCCTTCAGGCGGTTTTAATTTTCATCAACGAACGCAAGGAACCATTTTATAAGATCCTGTTCCGCGGAGAAGCCTCAGGAAAGCTTTCCATGTGGCACATTCCCGATGTTCCCATGGCCAGGTTCGACGGGTCCCCACAAGGTAAAGAACCAGCTGGGTTTGTGCTGTTGGGACTGTCCACTGGCATTCGGAATAGTAAAACAATGAGGAGCAAGAAGCTTGCTTAATCAGACCCCTGGACGAGTGAACATACTCGCAAGTCCGTCATATTCCCCCTGGTCCCTTCCCCTCTCCGTTTTACCTTGCTTGGAGTCCAACCCACCTCTGTCAAGCGCTCTGGGTTGCTCTCCTATGTGAAGAGGGCTGTATAAACACAAGGTAGTTGTTAGCACCAGGGAGGAGGAGGAGGAGGAGGAGAGGGTAGGGGTTGATTTTTTGGTTGACTCCGGTGTAACTCTTTCAGAGATTCAGACAGCTGCAACTTTGAGCCTTCAAGAGGCCTTTGAACAGCCCAAGTTTGTGTCTGAAGAACTGATCGACCAGCTGGGGGTCCTGCCGGACCGAATCCAGACGTCTCTGATCACCACCAGCGTTTACGTGGCCAACCATGACAAGCTGGCGTGTGGCTGTGAAGATGGGAGGATTATCATCACCCTGGGGTTACATGCTGCCAGAGCACAACTCCTGGCCGAACATTCCCTGCTGAAAGGTTTTCTCGTTCGGTATTTATGTTTGGCGGGGGTGGGGAAGGGAGGGGTCGGTGGGCAAGGGAGGGGTCGGAGGGGGAGGTGGGGGATGCCCTCTGTTTCTCAGTCTTGTTATTTTTTCATTTGCTGCTCACACCTTATTGATTACCCACAAAATACACACAGTCGCACTACTTTACAGTAAATCCCATGCAGGAAGCACTTTGAGATGTCTCGACGATGTGATAGGACGCTATATCAAAACCAAGGATTATTATGGTGTTATTGTTGTATTCTTTCGGCTCAGACTTTGAGAAATGGCTGGGTGTTTTGGAAGGATGAAATCAATGGGTCTCCTTGATCCAAATCTCTCCTTGTCATCTATTTGCGGTGTGTTTTTTTTCCCAAACCGTCGCAAATCCAATTCTTAACTGTTCCATGAATAACACAACAACTCTCTTGTTTACAGCCTGGTTACCCCACAGGATCCTTGTTGGCCATCATGGCAGAGTAACCTGCCTGCTCTACCCTTACACTAAATCTGCCCGCTTTGACCCCAGCTGGTTGGTGTCCGGAGGTGAGGATTCCAGTGTGATGTGGTGGAACATGTTCAAAGCCGAGCTTTTGCACAGTTTCGCACTGCACGCAGGCCCAGTGCTGAATCTCTTCGTGTGCCCTGAAGACTGCAATGTGAGTACTGATGAAATATCAGATGGAATAAGGTTCATTTGCTGGAGAGACTAATGGCATTTTCAGATAACAATGCAACATTGATTTAGTGATAATAAAGTCACGATATTGATGTGGATATAAAAATGTTGCGTACTAAATATTTTTATTGCTGTATTTAACCTTGTAATAGGCTCTAAATGATTATAATGTGCATAATAATGTTTCCTTATAATGACTTCTTAGCACAGTTTGCCCTTTGAAAATCGCATAAATATGTTTGCTGGCAGAGATCCTCAGTGCAGGGATTGCCTTCTCTTGTGTGCGTCCACTTTTATGCATGTTTTAACCTTTTCCTCTCTGCCCAACGACTCGTGTTAGTTAGGTGCCTGGATACGGTTCTGGTATGCATGGGTGATTCTGTGTTGTGAAATGAGAGGTTAGGGCAGGGACCAGGAAGTATTTCTTTAACCAGACGCATCAACCGCCTACCCCTCCTCTCCCCCCCCCCCCCCCAACCCCCCCACCCCCATGTTAGCTTCTCTAATGTTGCACAGGGCGAGGAAGGGCTAAACAACAACAACAAAAACTAGTAGGATAGCTTAGTTGAAGGTAACCTCACTTTACTATGGAGCAAGGATTGAGTTCTCTCTGTGGATCTAACGAAGGAAAAAAGACACTCTGGCGGCTGAGTGATTTTATTTAAAAAAAACAAAATTTGGAATATAAATATCGGAAACCAAAAGTCAATTTATTTTTACCGAGTGGATTCCCCTCTCCCCCTCCCCCTCCCTCTCCCCCACATATGGAGGGATAAATTCATTAATGTTTCCAGTGAAGCAGCAAAACAAAATTGTTGGTAGGTCTATCCTGCTGTTTATCTGGTCTATAAAATGAGTGAAAGACGTCAGCCCGAGCGATGACATTTCAAGAAAAACAACAAGTTGCACTTATATAGCATTCATTGTATGGGATAAAGTCCTGGAGCAAGGGAGAAAGGAGAAGGTGACCGCAGAAGGTAGGTTTTAAGGTGGGATGTAAAGTTAGATAGCGGGCGTGGGGAGGTGGGGGTGGGGGGAGAGGAGGTGATGGTAAGGAGGAGGGGTAGAGGCAGGGAGTTCCAGAGGTAAGCAAAGAAGTGTGAATTATAATTTAGTGGCCCCCAGATCAGATCTGCGGCTGGAATATACAATCTAAACTAAAGTTGCAACGTGTCTCGCCTTTTCTAAACCATCAGCCCGAGGTGCAGCAGAGTATTTGCTGCTTAGCAAACGACAACTCTGTAGCTCTGCTCAGCCTCCAATGCCGAACGAGCCTGATCCACGCGAGGAAACACCTCTCCCCCGTGAGGACAATCAAGTGGCGTCCGGGAGAGGACCTCATGGTGGTCGGATGTGACGATGGCTCGGTTTACGTCTGGGACATCGAGACTGGTACGGGAGCTTTTCTCAAATCTTTTGACGGCTCGGCCACTGATGGCAGTGAGGGTGAGAGCGCGAGGAAACGTGGAGGCGTAGAAATAGGAGTGGGCCATTTAGCTCCTCGAGCCTGTTCCGCCATTCTATAGGATCATGGCTGATTTGTACCTCAACCCCAATTACCTGCCATTGCCCTGTACCCCTTGAATACCCTGACCTAACGAGCACACAGCAAGGCTGAGTCAGTCATTCTGGGGGTGGGGAGAAAGATCATCAGGTCTGTGCTGGTGTTTCTATCCACATGAGCCTTTCACTCTAACGCAGCCCTCCCAACCCACCCCCACCCCCCACCCTCCTGCCCACTCCCCGTAACCCTTCACTCTGCCTTTTACGTTCACGCATCTCATTCCCTCTTAAAAGAATTTATGGGCTGTGCTTCATCACAAGACAGGAGTTAATAACCGAACATAAAGATGTGCGCTCTTTGTAAAATTTATTCCGTTCATATTTATCCTGAACCGCACATGATGTCAGCCAGCCTGACGGAAGCCCCCACCCCCCCACTCCCCTCCTCACCCCATCCATCGCCACAGCTCAGCTCAGTCTCTCTCTCTCTCTCTCTCTAGTCCAAGCTTCCAGGACAATTGAATCTTGATCTCATTTCACTCACAAGCTAAAGACTCCTTCCCATCTCGATGCCAGAGTACTCTGTATGTATGGGGGGAAGTTACAGTGTAAATCTAATCAGATGATGTCAAAACATTCTATCACTATGGTTTTTAGTCTTATTAGGGAGACTGAGGTGAGTGGACTTTTGTGGAGTCAGCTCGCTTTATATGGTGGAGAGAATAGAGATCAATACATTTCTTTCAATGAGCTAACATCTTTTGTTTATTAATATAGACCTGTGACACTGATATCCCGTTTTCTGCATATCTTTTTTTTGTAGCAGCAAACAATGGGATAACAGGGTTTGCACACCTAGTTCAGAGCACATAATGTAGCCTTGCTTCTTTGTTAACTCTTACTCTGCCAACATGTCATAGAGTAACACTACATTCACATCAGATTAAACATCCTTAGCCCGAAGTTGTATAAGAAGTGAAGCAGTCGTGTAAAATAAATAAACCTTGCATTTGATTTCAGTATCCAAAATGTCTCAATGGTTTAAAGCACTTCTCAGGGGATTCCTGTAAAGTATAGTGACTAGAGTGTGTTTTGTAGACGAACCCAGCAGCCCATTTTGCACACAGCCACGTCTCTATAAATAACCTTGAAGTGAGTGACCAATTTTATTTGGGTAATTGCCGGACAGGACACCGGGAGAGAGAAACTGCCTTCCCTTTTCTCAATCGTGTCATGGGATCTTCATCCCCCATCTGGTTTAATGTTTCATCCGAAGGACAGTGCCTCTGACAAATGTAGCAGAGCCCCCAGTATTGCGCGGGAGTATTGCGCCTTTATCACCTCAAGGCTGGACTATGGGAACTCTCTCCTCGCCGGCCTTCCCGCCACCTCCCTCCACAAGCTGCAGGTCATTCAGAACTCTGCAGCTCGTGTACTGTACCACACCAGGCTTCGGGACCACATCACTCCCACCCTCGCTCGCCTCCACTGGCTCCCCATCCCCCATAGGATCGAATTCAAGATCCTCATCCTCACCTACAAGGCCATTCACGGCCTTGCTCCCTCCTACCTCTCCAACCTACTATCCCCCTACCTATCTGCCCGTACCCTCCGTTCCTCTGGCTCCGGTCTGCTCCACATCCCCCACCCCAACCGCCCTACCATCGGTGGCCGGGCCTTCAGCCTCTCAGCCCCGAGGCTCTGGAACTCTATCCCCCAGTGCCTTCGCCGCCTCCTCCCTTTCCTCCTTCAAGGCCGGTCTCAAGACCTTTCTCTTTGACCGAACCTTCAGCTCCTCTCTCGAATCTCTACCCCCTCCTCGCTCCCTCCCTTCCCTCCTCTCACCCTGACCATTTCCCCCCTGCTCGGGTCTTGACGTAACTGTACAGCGCCTTGGGACGTCCTCCCGACGTGAAAGGCGCTCAATAAATGGAATCTTGTTGTTGTTGTTGTTGAGTGTCAGTCTGAACTGGGGACTGAAACTTCCTGATTTGAATTCACTGAGAGGCAAGAACGCTACCAACTGAGCCTGTCTAATACCTAATAAAAGGATAAGGGGGTAAAGTATGGGGAATTGGGAGATTCGTAACTAAAAAATCCGTATATTCGTGACAATGAGAGCTGGGGATCCAGATGCAAGATGATCTGATTCCCTCTCATGTCACAGTGCCTTGCACACCCACTTCCTTCCTTCCTGTTATCGGTTCTTGATTAAGAAACCCGTTAAGAAGCACCGCAAAATTGAAGGCACGTGAGCTAAAAACGTCAATGTACCAAAAGGGAGATAGATTGGCCCAAATTTGCATCTGGATCTGACGCTCCTGGTGTAACTTGGTGTAATCCTTGATCCCCAGAGCAGGGTCCACTCCACAGCTGTTTTCCGTCTGGATCCGGGTTTCGCTGGGCGTAAGGGGGAGACGGATACCATGTAGGGAACAGTGGCTGTGAGCTGTGAGCTGCAGTCCTGGAATGCATGAAAGCAATGAGGAAAATGCTCTACGTCAACAACATTGAGGGCTCTTGTTGTTTCGTTTTGCTGGTCAATTCAGGCATCTCGCATTTCTTTTGTTCTTTGCTTGTGGTTTAAAGCGAGCGGTTTAAATTAAGATGTCAGGGAGAGAGAGGAGGGGGGGGGGGGAGAAAAACGCCTTAGGAGAGGGACAAGGTACCAGGCACAACACACAGTGCATTAGCTGCTAGGTCTAATCAATAAAAATGTCAAGCCTAAATGTTACACAAGGTCACAGTAAGCCTAAGTGAGGTCTATGAAAGAATGAATTTGCCCTCTCTCCTGATCATTAGTTTTTCCATATGACAAGTATTCGAGGTCAGTGCAGTGTGGTAGTCTGTCGTAATTTAGTGCATATGTCATGGTGTTTTGCACTTTTCTAACTTTCATTAGTTTGGGTTTGAAAGGGTGGGGGTGGATGCAAGGTTACAGCAAAATCCAGTTCTGGTCACAAACCACTACCATTAGTCACTAATAATAATCCTTGCATTTGATATAGCGCCTTATCACAAAGGCATCACAAAGCGCTTCACAGGATACACAGACTGTAAAGTGCATCGTATCGGTAGGGACCCTTTCTGCGAGGTGTTTAAAGGTTGGGCGGGGTATCTTTTCATCCCATTGTGAAACTCACATTCTGGGGTTTGAGTGTCTGAGATTAACGCTTGGGATTTTTTTTCTAGTCTCCTGGTTCTTAGACTGCCCCCTAGCCGAGAGGTATAAGAGGATTCCTGGGAGTCAGCCCGTCCAAGCAATGGGTGACTTCTGTGTTGATTTAACTAAACAGCAACAACAACTTGGATTGAGGGACAGCATTCCAGAGCTATAGTGGTTGTGGCAAAGACAGTAGCCTTGCTATCAAGCTCCTCACTGACCCTTGAGTTGCCTAGTAAGAGGGTCAAGGGAAGGATTATACCTAAATACTGCGGACAGCCAGGCCTTGGTCTAGACACTGTATGAGTCTCGGAGCAGGCTGGTGGTTCAGTGCGGGGTCTTTAGCACTGAAAGATTTACATTTCCGAGCAGTCTGTTCAGTTTCTTTCATGAAAGCATCTTGAAGTGTTTATCAAGATTGAGTGCGGAAAGTCATTTGGGCAAATTCCCTTTGATGATTTTCCATCCCCATCCAATTAAGAAGTGTGACATCTTGTAATGTACCCAGTTACATTAGTCAATACCAGGGCTTGATTTATTGCCCACTTCCATATACACCGAGCAGAGACAACTACTCCCAATGATTTCAAACGTATGTTATTTGTTGTGCCTTTATGCTCCCAATCTGATACATACAAAGCCGGCTGTTTAACATTCAATTACTTCTGCAGCCGGCCGCCGTTGATATTTTATTCGGCTCTTAAGAATATGTTTTTTAATTAAAAGAAACTGAAGGATGTGACTCGCTGTTTTGATGGATGTCCCCAACAGTGATCCTGACCAGATAAGTCATGAGTGACAGTGTCGCGAGTGAGGGATGGTTACCTCCAGAGTTGGAGGTATTCATCACACGTCATGGCTTCTCGTGACATCTTGTGCTTATAATAACACTGGCCTTTTCAGGTGAATTTGTGAGAGACAGCGAGAGAGAGAGAAAATAATTTAAGTGAGTATTTTTTGACGCCCAAGAAAAATAAGTCTCTGTGATGAACCAGGGGAAATATGACAGGTGTGGGGGGAAATCTTTGATCCAGATCTTGATGGATGAGACAAGTCCCATTCCGCAGCAGGTTTTAAATATACTGAAATATTCCAACATTTTGTCTGCAAAATACACAGTCACGACACCTTCCAATAACTCCTCTGAAGCACTTTTGAGACGTCCTCACGACATGAAAGACGCTGCATCGAATGCAAGGATTACGGTAGGATTGTTATTTACTGATCCAATAGACAGCTAAAAAGCAGATTGGTGCTATATAATAATAATAATTAATAACCCTTGATACAGGGTCTTCAAAACATCTCAAAGTGATTCATAAGTTTCACTGCAAAGTGTAGAGACTGTATTTTATAGTCAAACTCATATATTCTTATAACTTAACCTACAAATTAATGGATTAATTTAATTTTTATTATGATTTTTATTTCTATCTTCCCCACACTTTTCACAAACGTCTGTTAAACATAGTCAACAAACAAACTCCTGCATTGTAACAAAAGTACGAGTGGTGCAGTATCTGCCCTTTAGAAGTTTACTTTACTGTGTAAAAGAACTGCTGTTAACCAATTCTTTGCTGTCAGAGTGCTTCACCATCAACAACCAAGCGGGAAAGTGAAATCTGGCAATCTCTCTGGTTGCCAAATCTCTTTCTTGGCTTATCTTTTGCTTCTTCCACTGCTCGGTGCCCAGAGTCAAGTTAAATGTCCTGCGAATGTCTGTGCC